CATGACTCCCGAGAATTGCCAGAGACGAATAAAACGTATTCTCCTAACCTTTGTAGGAAACCAGTGAGTCGTGGCTTTTCACGACTTACTGTGGCAAACTGTACTGAACAATTCAAAATGCTGTATTGTAATTGGCTCAATCAATCAAAACATTCCAGCATGCATGTAGGAAACTTCCCTCGAGCAGACGCTCACAGCCTCCACCTAACCCGAGCATTGTCTGTGGTTCGACTGTTATTGCCCCGTCTGACGAAGTTTAGTATCTATTAACTCCCTCAGGGAAGGAGGAACCTTGCTGTCCAGGCCAGAAGGCAGTTCTACTTGTCAGTAGTCCAGAGCAAGCTCGAGTACGCCAGCACTGCCTACGTCCACTGCCTCGTTGACAATGTGAGAGATCAGCTGCTACGCATAAGTAAGAGAGCACTTAGATGCATATTTGAGCATGACACATTCACGCGGACATCATACTTGCTTGAGCGATACCACATAATTAGCTTAGACAAAAGATATCATACTAAGTCCATATTCTTCGTGTTCCGTTGCATTCACAGTATCTGCAGTTCACTCCTCTCTGACATGTTCTCTCTTCGCCGTGACTGCGCTTACACAGATAGAGTATTATTCCCTTTCCTTACCCATTGTGCAAACTCGAGCTGGATACAGATCTATTTCATTCCTTGGTGCTGACCGCTTTAATGCGCTTCCCGAATCCCTTCGCATCAATCATATCCCCAATTCATTTCGCCAGGAACTTAACAATTTCATTCATCTTGGGCACCCTGTAAGAAGGCCTTAGGTTCTGTTGGGAATGCCCAAGTAAAATAATAAAATACAATACAAAAATACAAAATCCCTTAAAGAATGCAGTGAAAATTCGAACACTACAACAAATCACAAGGGCAATTTACACAGCTCCCATAAAGACACTAACAAAAAGGAAGCAATACATGAGAGCGGTTTTACGAACACACAAACACACACACATACAATGCAAGTCACAGTTGTGTCTGGTTCAACATTTGCAAATAGTAGAAGACCAGCGAGTGTCAAAACGGCCCCAATAATTCCTTGTTTGTTCCGTGTTGCACTTGTGACGACAGTATTACACAGTGAACAGATGTGCCAGGACAGCCGACGACGTATATCATCGTTGGCGTCTGCTTCGTCGGTCTCCAGTCACGAACACATCCGGGCAGTTTTTCAAGAATCCGTCCCGTCCACCAGTATGCAGAACAATAACGCGCTTGCCTTTACCTGATGGTGCTTCATTTGGTTGCTTGCCTATGCACTCCTGCCACCATTGTCGTACCACCTCCTAGTAACTGTGTGACGCGCATTGACCCACGTCTCATCCAGGTGTGTCTCGCAGGTAGCGATGCCACCATGACACAATCCCGAGCCGTTCCATCATTACATAATTGTGTGTGATACCTCTGGTCTTGCCACACTGGAATCCCATGGAACGCAATTTTTTTCCAAGAGCTAGTTTTCCTCATGTCTGGAAAACCGTCGATGGTCTCTCTGCAGCGAGCAGGAACTTCGTCCAGTGTTGGGTGCTCCTTCGCAGCATAGAATCCGTAAATTATTTTTTATACAAAGCAAATCCGTCAAGGTTGAGTGGTTTCATCGCACGAGTCTCACATTGGGGATTGTCACTCTCGTCACCTTCATCACTGGAGACAGACAAGGTCATCGCAGCACGCTGAATTTCGCCGTCAGCAACCCTGGTGCATCTTTTCATGGTGGAAATGCTGACGCCACATGCAACAGCAGCATGACGAATGGAATACTTGAGACCAATTCGATGCCCAGCCATTGTTCTCCTCGTCTTCGCAAAAAATTGTAAAACAGACACCACCATGTACTATGGCCCGTTTGCGTTTTGTTATATGTGGCATGTCGAGAGAACAAGTTGCCACGAACGCAAAGACACTCGAGAAAAAGCAAAATAGGGCCACAGAGCAGTCAGCAACAAAATGATTCCTCCAGCCATGAGGCAAGGAGCTCGAAGGACACTCTGAACAAATGCCACGAGTCACACCTGGTTTTTCGAATTTCGCGCCCAGATTTTCGTCACGCAACTCACATGACATTTTCTCAAAAGCGACCTTGAGAGTTGAGTACGTTTTGGACGTTTTCAGAGTCTAATATAAAAAACCCACTGTAGCTCTCAAATCACTATTATTTGCAATACCGGTATGGATGAAGAAAATGTGAGTTAGTAGCATACCAAATGCCCGGTTAAAAAATGGAAAGTGCAAAATTGGATTCTTACGTAAGATGGATAAAAAAGGAGAGACATGCTGGATATACATTGAGTTTTCAACGAATACCTCAGGTGATCATTATAACGGAGTTAATGATCAGGTTGAATCTCATTCTCATCTTACTTACATATCATGCCGAGCTGTACCCAAGGTGTTGCCGTTAATGTATGCATTGATCCTCCTGACGCCGAAAGCATACAGTTGCTGCCCAGTCTGGTAACAGTCATTATGAAATTCGATGGGCCATACTGCTGATTTTTGAGATGCACAGGGAAGTTTTGCAACGAAAAACTGTAATTGCATATGTCCATGTCGCACATTTTGTTGAGCTTGAAACTCTCCAAAGTCTCATTTTGCATCTGTGTTTCATTTCCCCGTTCAAGTATGTACTCGAAAGAACACGGGCTGTTTCGCTGGACGTAAAATGCCACTTCCTCCATTAGCATGTCACACCTCTGCACCGGCTTAAAGTGCACAGTAATCGATGGGCTGACTGCTGTGAGCCGTCTCCAGTGTCCCAGAGTGATGTTTTGTGTCGTGGTATAAACCATTCTGGAAGGCAGATCTTGTCGTTGATAGCTGGCACGCATTTCACATGCAGTAGGAGAGAAATGCTCTTGGGTAAGCTTGGTAAGGGAAGTAGCTAGGGTAGTCCGAGCAAGGAGACCTGTCAGACACAAAAGGGAACAGTAAAATTCTTATTGGCTAGCCGCCTGGAGACATATAATTATTTGACCAGACTTTGGATGAGTATAAAGCTTTCAAACCTCACCATAAAAAAACAGGAAGCATAATTGAACTTTCGACTAAAATTTTAAATGATCTTCAAATCACACATTTTTGGCTAAGAAGACGCCTTACGGAACGGAAGTTAAAATAGGATCAAGGAAACAGTCTCCATAACGATGTGGTCTGATGGATATATACTAGCACAGGAATAGTCGAAGCCAGTTGCAAACCTGATGAGGCATTTCATACCATTACTTCTCAAATCGGTACAGTGATGGTGGTAATGTGACGAAGCACATCGATGTCAATTTATACAGCATATTGCCGGTAAATTTAGCATGCAACGTACACAGGCTGAATGAATATGATAATTATGAGTTCCGCCAAACAATGTTGTGTACAAGAACGAATCACGAGAATGCGTGGCCATCTGACGATATCGGAACGAAACGTTGGAAGTTACCTGCAATCAAAATCGTCCTTGGTTCAACACATCCCTTCCGCTGGAGGTGATCGAGATGTTTAGCACACTGGCTAGTGTCCGTGTAGCGACATAATGGAAATGATGGTGAGGATGAGAAGGAAGTATACGGCACAGTTGTTACATGCTGTTCCTCATGGTGGATCTTCTTACTTTTTTGCATTGGTATGGTATGGTATGGTATTGATTTATTTGAATTCGGTATCTCAACAGTACAATGTACAACTTATTCTCTACCAATACCGCACAGTAAAATGTATCCCTAACCGGAACTAGAAATGAAATATAATAGCCTCGGCTGCGGTCCAAACATCGAGCATAATAGTGATTGCGCTACAAAACCCGAACCGATGGCTGTTTGAATTGAGTGAAATGAATTCAACCGTGTGTTGAAAAAGAAGGCACACAAATTATGGATAAAGGGAAAATATGTTACGAGTTATGAGTACATGTAACTGTGCACCAAATGTAAGAAGATCAAAATACAGTCAGCTTTTGCCGCAGCATGGCACGAAACTGACAAGGAGTACTAGTGCTGAGACATTCAACGACCTGACACCTAGCGCCAACACATCTACTTTCAAGTACCAGGCACAGACCAACAATCTTCCAACTTGGAGTCGCGAGTTAGGAGGAGGGGGGTCTCAAGTTAGGAGGAGGAGGGGGTCGGGTCTCAGGTTAAGAAAGGTCCAAAGGTCCTTTCCTAACCCGAGCCTTGTTGGCTTGCGCGTAGTAGATGTGTTAGAGTTAGGGGTCAGTTCGTTGAACGTCTCAGTACGTTTTGTCAGTTTTGTGCCATGTTGTAGCACTAGTGGACTGTGTTATGATCTAGTTACATTGGTGGACAGTTGGTCATAACTGGTGACATTTTTGTCCTCACTGATATCCATGATTACATTGGGTCAACATTCGAGTCCACTGCTTGCGCAAAAAATTGCATTTGTTTTCCAGTCTTGTCATTTATTAATTTTTAGTTCAAGAGAAATAGAGACTTCGCGAAATCGTTGATTATCAGTCATCGATTCGATATCTCGTTGTCGCTTAGAGTTCATTCATCGGAAACAGTTCCGCTGGCTTTTCAAAGTCCGATTTGGGCCGAATTGAGGATCAAAATCCATTTTAAATCTCACAAATTCGGGTTTGGGATCTGCTCCTCCATACATTTTGCCATGACATACCTCTCCTATTTTTGTAAAACCTGGCTGAATTTCTATTTCCCTGTTCTTGGACTTTTCTGGCCTCAAATGTGGCAAGGATTAATTGCGTGGGTCACACAATGCAGGATGTACTGTTGTTTTCACGATATCTACAACTATGTGTGAGAGGAACCAAAAAGTTAGGGTGCCAGATTCCAATGGATGGACCGTGATGCGGTAATAAAAGAAGAGACCGTTGAGAAATTCCCAACACTAGCATATCACACCCCGTGATGACTTCAAGGTTGCATCGTCCCGTAAAGTAAACATTGTGTGTGAATTCGCGGGAGGTCTTCAAGCTCGTGTCATCACAAGATCACTCACCCCTGTTCGGAGACTCGGTGATTTTCAGAGATGTCGGTATCTGGGATTCAGGGGATGGCACTATTTTTCTGAGTATCGGCGACGCTGGTTGCTGGGGTGAAGACCAGGTTGAAGATGTTGACTCAGATGTCCCTAGAGAAGACATGAAAGATTTACTTTCACAAGTCAGATCCGTGCTTGAAGCGCATGAAAAGGTTTTAGTAAACAATAAAAAACCCATTCTCAACACGTTTATGGAATAATGCAACAATCAGTGTAGTGCATGTCTGCCAAGTGCACAGTTGGAGTGGTAGGTGCCATGCCTGTCTCAGCTTGACCCTCACTGTGTCCTGCACCTTTGGTCGTCTAGGTGAGACCCTAAAGGATTGCATGTTGTCCCTTTTCGAAGACTGGGTGGTGTTTAAAGTCTCCAAGATGGCAGCAGTATGCTTCATGTGATGCCCCGCAACATTTTTACAACTTCTTGCAGCTTGCAAAAACACATGGGATTATATGTACAACACAAACAAATCACCTTGTCCTCTACCATATCGGTACTACTACCAAATAGAACAATGGATTCGGATGGAGAGCCAAGGATAAATTTATAGTAAAGAAAAACGACCAAGAAACTACAAGTTATGCCATAATGTCCACTAACACAACCAGTTACTAAACAATGAGCTCATGCGATAACATTGCACGACACTGACCGACGGTACTGACATTCTACAACTAACTGGCTAACAGCTCCAGCACATCTTGAATGCGCATTCCAACAGCGTTCCAATTTGGAAGGTTCTAAGTTATAGTTATAGAAATAGCATGAGGAGGAGAAGGTTAGCGCAACCAAGACAAGCACGACTTGAAAGTCTCAGCTGTGAAGGACGTTGGCGGATGTTCATGCATGTCGATGGCGATACTGGCAGACCACTGGACAATACAGTCAAACCACAATTCAAGGACGCAAAACAACATTCCACAAAACTTGTGTGGCTCAAAGATGGGAAGCTCAATAACAGGGGAAGCTATGCAAGCGAGAATCATGCAAAACCGAATGCCTTCAGTAAAACAGCACTGTACTTCGACTATGACAATTTAGATGGACAATAAGCAGCGGTAACAACATTATAGCTTAAGTTGTAGTTTCTTGGTCCTTTTCTTTACTATAAATAGAACAGTTATAATACATTTCAGTCATGGCATCTGCAGACCCAGATCTTACTGTTCATAGTGAGATAAAAAGTAGGTGTTGGATCATTGGTAGAATGAACGCCATCGGAACGACCCGACAGCCAGCAGTACCCAGTGCTTGTATTAATAACGGAAACTGTTAGAACAGATATTCCTTGTTGCTGATTTCGAAGGCGTTTCGGAAAGACATCCAAAGTTAATGTGTGGACACATTCGTCACTTCCCATACATCTACGAAGCCACGATATATTTTCCGTTGACTCTCTGTAGATATATGTATCGTTGTCACGTCGAATGGTGTATTCGATGAGGCATTTGCTTTTCTTGTAGATAGAAAATGCTAAGATCGCCATTGTCATGGCACAGGAACGGCGAGGTGCAAATTCTATTTCGTATGGATTCCTCGCAGTGATAACGACCTTTGCCTTCGTACTATGAGCTTCAGGTGTTGTGTAGTACATGAGAGAGTAAGATACGAGGTTCTCACGAAATGGAAGGTCGAAGTTGCACGTCTGTTCTGAGCCTAGGAACGAATCGCCGCGCACGCCCATTCCAGTCATCAAGACGGTAGCTACATAATATACAGAAAAAGAACACAAGAAAAGCGAGATGGGCACTCGCACACGGTAATCCATTTTACTGGAAGCATCGGGTCCTGGTGAAACCTGCGTTTGAAACATACTGTCAGAATCAAAACAAAACAAAAAAAGAAAAGAGATGTGTATATTATCTGGAATGCGAGAAGGTAGTTATTACATTGCTGGCAACTGAAATCCGGCCACTGAGCGGTACGCTCACATCGCAAAGACCCAACACGGGATGGTAAAACTACGAAATAGGGACCGCTGGAATGTGGACGCACTGCTAAGGGGTCGGATTGCAGTTGCCAGCACTGTACTTCAGTAGTATAGACAAGGCATGGTGTAGAGTGGCATGCACAATTTCGAGCCGCGTTCTTACCCAGCAGAGATATAGCACACAGGTGCACCATTGTAACTTTGAAAAGCTTGAGCTGCAGAATGCAGTCGTGATATCAGAGTAGTTATACCCTTCGTCGGATTGTTCGCCAGGCAGTGTGACCATTTGAGAAATATCCAGAACCTGATAGCACCACTGGGGTGATAGTATCATTAGCCTTTACTGAATAACTACAAGCTAGGTTCAGGCAATGAAGTATACCACTCTGAATAACTACAAGCTAGGTTCAGGCAATGAAGTATACCACTCTGATTCCAAAACGTTTTCTTCCTCTGAATTTAGCTTATTAAAGAGCAGAACCAATCTAGCTATGATCATCCATGAAATGAAATGATCGCTCTTTGTGCTGTGTAAGAGAGCTCTGGTAGTTGGAACAGCGCACTCTCCGGAACCCAACCGCATCACTGCATACAGGTGGTTACCGTTGCTTTCTCCCAACATGCACTACCGTATGCCTCGCAGCTAATTCTTCAAGTGACGTGGAGAGGATAGTGATTCCAGCAGCATACATACGATAATGAAGTACCGTAATACATTTGCAATTAGGAATGCGACAATCACGATTCCCTGCTTGTTTTGGGCAGCGTGGATGTTTGATGTCCTGGTAATCCCTTCGCCCGTCATCACTGTGCTCTCGAATTATACAAAGAACATTTGGTACAGACTGTGGGCAAGGGATGCTTGAATTCACAGCGGTTTAAGCCAGTAGAGCAAGCAGATGGATTCACGAGGCTGGTCAGTCCTGCAAACCATAATAATTCACGTTTTATTTTTTGAACGACCCACGAACTCGTGTGTGTGTGTGTGTGTGTGCATATGTGTGCATATGTAATTATATGTGTGTTGGTGTGTGTTTAGGTGTGTATGTACGTGAGCGAGTTCATATCAATTTTATATGTACATGTACGTGTGTGTATGTGTGCGCGCGCGATTGTTTGTGCGTTTAGCTAAATGGCTGCACTGGGTCGGTTTTTCGCCTAGGCGAGGGTGTGATTACTTTGTATTTCGAAGCTAGCAGTTCTCTAAGTGCCACCCTATCATTGTGGAGGTTGGATAAATTCACACTGTTTACCCAGTTTCTCAACATAGTGGATAGAGTGGATATGAAGAGAGTTGTACGTGTACTGGGAAGTATTCGCCAATCCATCAATGGACAATGGTCATTGAAGTCAGCGGTAGCACCGATTGTTTTGTTTTCTATCTTCACATTCCCAGATCGAAAATAATACGGAAAGACAATGGTACTGAAACTAAGACAAACGTGACAACTATTGAGTGAGGGGGGGGGGGCTGGAATGAGATGCAGCAGTGATGGTGGGGCGTTGATGGCTCTGCCGACCTGAGGTCTCGCATCACTGCCAAGAACATGTGCCAAAACTATACTGGCCGATGCATTCTAGACCCTCGGGCGTTGAGGTCAACGTTTTGCTTTCCCTGTCCTAAACCCGCTCATTATGTTGCATTGGACAGATCGAAGCGCATGAGGTTCCACAGATAGGGGTCATGTAGCCGTGCATCTTTCCAGACATCACCAACTTCCAAGAAAGCAAGTGTATTTCTATCCTTGGTAGTACTGGGCTGGGGTCTAGTTTGGTAGTACTGGGCTGGGGTCTAGTTCCTTGGTAGTACTGGGCTGGGGTCTAGTTCAGCTGATACTAAACATAGGTGATCGTGAAGGATGGTACAGATGGGCAACATCATCTGGTCCTCCAGTTTCTGCTTACAGTTCAAATACACGAGGCAGCGAATGGCCAAAGAACATGTTTTCTTATTGTCAAACCTCACTTCTACATACGAAGTAACGGTTAGGCATCCTGCAGCTTCATAACTCGAAGAGAATTGGTGAGCACACATGCTCATTCCCTGGGCACTAGAAATTCACAACTCATTTCATTTCATAGAATCATTTTTAACGTTTCGGCAAATTGTGGGATGAGATATAACCATGCATCCTGATGATGGCAATTTGCCGACACGTTGAAAATGATTCTGTGAAATGAAATGAGTTGTGAATTTGCAGTGCCCAGGGTATGAGCATGTGTGCTCACCAATTCTCTTCACTTCTACATGTACAGGTAAAAAACGTAAATTATCATGTCAGTTCTCGAAGGGAACTCACGACGGCCGCTAACACCTGGTAGACCTTAGCGGCAGATACAGCGCCTAACGGTGGGGGTGAGGAGATAAGTCACACAACCACTGGCGCAAGCGCCGAGAAACCCCAATTAGCCGCATCCATGTACCCCTTGTGTTTGGCCACAAGTTCCCAGCTGACTTTGGACTTCTAAATAATATTTCTATGCCATCCTGATCAGCTCGGATTCCATTCATGCACAATCCACTAAACTACATCTTTTTGTGTGCGTAGGCGTGCGCGCATGTGACTGTGTACGCATGTATTTTCTGCATGTGTGTTTGCATGTGAGTGAGAGTGTGTGAGTGTACACATGTGTATTGGGTTTGTGTGTGTCAGTAGGGAGGCGGAAACTTTCTAGCCCCTGATACATGTACTTCGAAGTATATTCAATTCGGTGTCTGTGATCCCAGACTGTCGGAAAGCGTTTCTGCATGGTTATATCTTATCCCACTTTGGTGATCAAAAAATAATATCCACGGTCTTCATGTCTCCTATGAGAGGTACGCGTGCCAAATATCCTCCAAAGATTTCCAATTTTCCAGCGAAAGAAGGCAAACAAATTTGTTTGAATAGAACAGTGTCGTTACGAAGTACTGTTGTGCCCAGCGCGGGCTTGCGACTAGTTGGTTTGGAGGTGACGGCATTGCGAATGACCGAGGGTCCTCGACGTCCGTCTCACCGTCCAGGAGGGACACTGACTCACGCTGCTATCTGGTGTTCACGAGGTGTTTGTCGCGCTGGAAACGGAGCGTCTCTGTAAGTTTGTATCCCTGGTGATGTTTGTGCCTGGAGAGCACTATATAAGTGGTGCTCTTCAGGCACAATCTTCCTCAGCCTACTCAAGCTCAACTGATGAGGGGTGAATTCCCCGAAACACTGTGTATTGAGCAGGGAGTGGTGCCTTCTTGCAGGCTTGCCGAGTGGAAGGTTCGATGGACATCTCGTGTGCTCTGGATGGCAGTCGTGAGTCAGTCAAGTGTCAAGTAAACTCGGCGGAATAGCGCGAGCTCCGGTGTGGGGAGCAAACCCTTTCTTAGAACAGTGTCATACTCAATCAAAACGGAGGTTTGAGAAACCCGGAGTTTAGTGCGTACTTCTAGAACAATTTCGAATAAAAACAATTTGGCGGCCGGACCATGCTCAATAAATGACAATACAACTGAATCTGATGAGGGTTGAGTTTCCTGAAACACTGTATATTGAGCAGGCAGTGGTGCGTTCTTGCAAGTTCGCCCAGTGGAAGATTCGACGGGCTTCTCTTGTGCTCCAGACGCAGTCGTGAGTCAGTCAAGTGTACTAATGTGCAAATCATTATTGAAGATAATCTGAACGTTATTACAGTTTTAACATTATCCAACTTTATCATAGGAATGAAAAGGCCTCTTGTGCGGGCAAAGCAAACGGGCTTTCATACGACACAGTATTTTAGAACAAAAAAAGAAAAAAAAGAAAATACATGCCAAGAATCTGAAGAAGGACTCGATCATAGGAAATAGAAGTGGGCAAGTGAGTAAGTGGGCTAGTTGCCTGAAGAGGGCACGGAGGAGAGAATTAGGGACACAATGTATTACACGTGAGGTTTGTGAACAGCCCAGCCCACTACTAGTATTAGTTTTCATTAAGTACGGAGTGATCTTTGTTTGCAAAATAAGAAATACGAATACTAGTATGCATGATCAGCAACAGCCCCAAGTTATAAGCCACAGCTGAAACCTGAAAGGCTTTCGACGTTGACATGCAAGTAACATGCTGTCAACCTCGGGCTATAAGGACAGAAATGCACTGCAGAGCACGTCTGTATCCCTTAGGTAAGTGCATTGGTGAGTGTGTGAGCAGAGTCAACGTCTATGATAGAGGTATACAGTGTAATGCCACACAGCAAGGCATTGTCGTTATGCAAGGGGAATATTCTACGAACTTCGTGACAGGTTTGAGCAGTACAGTGACTACCGGAAGAAAACAAGATGCCCTGAACCTAGCATGTACAAAACAGACAATGGGAGTAGAACCAGTGTGGAAATACACCACAAATGCATCGAAAATTTACACTTTAGAAATAAATGCGCTCGCCAACTAGCTGAACTCATGAAATAATGTGTACTGAAAAGACACCCTACGGACAGTGCATTGATATCAGTAATCAAAAACCGGGTGTTGAAATCCTACCATGTAAAATTAGTTGATGCTACATATGGCCTGCTCGAGAATGGCATAAACTGTTGGTCAGTGCATGTGATGGTTGTAACAACGAGTTTTAAGGGTAAAGTTCCTCAGTACTATATCAGCTTGACCGTGCGCTCGCCTTCATCACTGGTGTATCCTGGAAACAACTTCACGATCTTCACACTGCTCAGAAAGAGGTGAATTCATACGTCCGCAGGGGTTTCGTAATCGCTCTGTGCAAAGTACGTTTTGCTTCCCAGTAATGGTTGAGGGGCTGCATACTCGTTCTCCGTAGCTACTCCGCTCGCTGCGCTCTCAGTGGTGTTGTCGTTAGCTTCTGCAAGAGCTGTGATACTAGAGCAATGGGTTGTGGGTGGTTCTTGGATTGTTCCGTCCGACGAAATTGTGCCGTGTTTCGGTTCTGGCTCGATCTGTGTGGGACCACAACGTGGGTCAGGTGACGCAGACTTTGTGTCTTGTGCTCTGGACGAAATCACGAAAGTCGATTGCGGTGAACCAGGGCCATCGTTAATGTGACCCATGGAGTCTGGTTGTTGCTGAATTCCGCCAGATGGATCCGAAATCGAGTTACCAACCACCATGGATAACGGGGTAGTACTTCCTGTAGTTACTGGCTCCTGATTTAATCTTGTGCAGGGTCCAGCCAGAGAATATTCGCCGGATGGTTCCACGCAGTATTCTTCCCGGCATTCTGGAATAGTGACACTGCTATACTGTGGATTAGTGATAGACTGTGCTCGACCATCGCTTCGTTGGAAGCCCTGCATTGTATTCTTTGACTGTCGTCGCCGCCAGCACATTATAGTCACACCAATCACAAGCAAAAGAATGATGATTGCAGCAGTAATTGCACCTACGAGTTCACCCGTGACACTTGGGAAGCGAGGCTCTGTGGAATCTGCTGTAGGAGAATGCGTTGCTGATGAACTGGTATG